GGCTTCTGGGCAAGGCCAATGAGGAGCAAATCCCCCACCCGATACAGATTACTTTGGTACGGTTCCATGACTATTGCGCATGGATTATCTGGTCTCTTGTGAACCTGCATTGGAAGTGTGTTCCTCATTGAGGGGCTAGTTCGGAGTCGATCATCCAGCATTGTACCCGGTCGAAAGTGTTTCGGTCAGACATCAGTTTCATGCCAGATTGTTGACGCGCAAGTGAACCGACTTGAGCTTCTGCACTGAATTGGTTCCTCTGAACAACTTAAAATAGCTTCACATTTCACACACATACACAAACAAGTCTTGTTAATCTCGCCTGTGCTCTTGCCGTCATTGCTATTCGTTCCGGCCCGAGGGGGCTGGGTAAGAATCGGCCACCATAGCCTCGTCTGACGCAAGTACTGTTCACACTCTCACCCACTTTATGGAGGATATGCGTATCCTTTCCGGAACAATCATGCATTTTCAGTGTTTATCCTATTCGCACATGTTCACTCGGAAAATCAAGTATTGATTCCATAAAACAGTGGCGCCAGGTCTGCCTCTTCCCGTCAGAGAACCCCGAGAGGGTGCATCGCATCTGAAGCGGAAGACGGACACTGAAATAGCCGTACTATGAGTGCTTTGGAGTCTTGTACCTTGCGGGAAGGATGGAATATGACACCGACTGGATAGATCGGCCACGAACCCGTGTGGAGACCAAAGTTGTAGGCTACCAAGCACAGTGTGGTCGGCATGGCGTACTAACCCTGAGATCTGCACCGCTCCCAGCCCCTGGGCCACATCCGAGAGCGATCAGACAGGAAGGATTCTGAGCTAGGAATATGAAGTGTAAGTTGAATAGCTCGTTTTCCCACCTGGGTTGAAGGCCAGACAGCGACTGTGGGCGAATCGACACCCATTGCTTCCTATTCTTTGGCCCCTTTCAAGCTGCATTCTGGCTGACTTGTTTTGGGGTCGAAAAGAAGAGACGGACAAAAGAAACCTGAGGCGACAGGGGGTTTCCTGGTAAGCAATGGATGGTGATTAGTGAACGTCAGTTTGAAAGAAACCGTATTTTTGGAAGTCTGTATGATCATTCGGAGAGATAATGGAAAAAATCGGCCGTAATAATATTTTGCCCCTGGGAAATTATGAACATCGGAAGGAATCCCTCCCCCACATCATTTATCTGGATATTGTGCCACTGGACGGAGTAGCCCCTACATAACGGTCACGGTGCATGGGGAAAAGCTGACGAATCTGAACGGAGACGGTCATAATATGAGATAGCAATCTGAGACGGGAACCAGCAAACGATGGGGCGGTGCCTGGAAGCAAATCCGGTTTTGGCGATGATGCCTGTGTCCCATAACTAAAAATACAGCTTGAGAGGAATTTATTCTCTTTGTTGCGAATTGGGCCAATTGTGCTGTTTGAAGCACTGTACGAATTACCATCTCCATCATATGACCATGCTTTCATAGTATTGTATCATGTGACTTCGCGATGGGGAGACGCGCCCGACGTGTTCCGTAGAATGCGGAGATCTAAACTGAACAAAGCATGCAGGTCATTCTTCCATGACAGCGTCTCAGTGCCCCTCAGCTGCCCAGTATGCGACGCATAAGCAGTTATTTCAAGCGTCCAGTGTTCGCTGCAACTAACGAAAGCAACCAAGACATTCGCCAGGATCCTAGTCCGGCCCCTCCGCAATCTTCTCCTCTCACTGAAGTATCGTCATCTTTCTTCTCAAAAGATGGTTCTTCGACCCCAGAAAGGCCAGCGCATGAACTACATGCTTCGCTGACACCATCTATCGATGAAACAATCAAGAATGAGACTGAAAGTGATAGATCCCCGTCACCTGCAAGTCTGGTACCAGGATCGAGCTTTAACTTCTCGCAGCGTGTTGTCAAGCACGGCAAAGAGGTCGTGATGGGCTCTGATGGAGAGGATACTGACTCCATAGGCTCACTAGTGTCTCCCGCAGACCTTTTTATGAGATTCGCTAAACCGATCCATTCTACATCTTCTTCAGAGCCTTCACGTCCTGGCCGTACAGCTTCGGCAAAGAACAATTCACTCGCCCGGCTGGAAAAGCCTGCCCCATCGTACAAGAATAATCTTGACTCCCTTGTCACTGCCGCGGTTGATGATCAGGAGACTGAGGCTGGTATCGCTAAGCTAAGGGCGTCTTTCGACAGGGCGGCTAATGAATCCACCCGTCGGAGGGGACAGCTACATGAAGGAATTCTAACGTCAGCTCTGGGCGACGATGACGAGATGGACATGCAACGTCTACTTCACGCTCTACGCAGAACAGATGCTTTTGATCCGACTAAGGCTTGGCACTTCTTTGATTTCAAGGACGAGTTGCCTCCTGTGCTTGAATTTCCGGTAGAATGTATTAGTCCGAGATCGTATCTGACCTCGTTAACAGGTAAGTATTCCTATAATTAATGACAATTAGGTCAAAACTCATTCGTTTCAGCGAATCATTCGAGGGAGAGAGCTTTTCATTCCGGTATCGTTGATGTCGCTCTCTCCAGGTCATTCTTGCCGGACGAGGTGATCTCATGGATCTTTCACTCCAGTGAGTCCTTTCAGGCTTCTTAGCTCCTCGCACTGCTAATATCGGGCACCAGTACCGATGGAGCCACAGGACAGTATCAGACATGCGTACTGCAGGGCTATAAAGGTGACATGCTCTCTCGCAGCCTATCTTTTTATGCTTTACTGACTAACTGTTTGATTCCAGAACACAAATGCTAAACATGTTAAGGCCCTCATACGGCCAGATGACTTTCGCATACTTTTCGAACGATTAGGAGCAATTCCGAATGCAATTAATATTCACGAACAGATCGTTCCAGATGCGGATCCCAAAGGTATGAAGCAAGCCTAGGAGTGTGACTTCCGGGATATTAAGCGATTGCAGATTACCTACAAACTATCTCCCGGCACCAAGGCTTAGTGTTGTCCGTCCTGGATCTGATCTGCGGGGCAGCTGATTTGTAAGTCTCTCAAATCGTGTGCCTTTCGACGAGTGCTAATCGATTGATAGATTCGCAGACGACACCCGAGAGTACCTGTTGGGCGTTTTATTCCGAATGTCGCTCGATGTGACTCTTACAAGCGTCGCCACCATCAGCTCGGAAATCGAGAGGGCAATAGTCACCGTCTTGGAGAGCTCTTCGGAGGAGACAGCAGAGGACTTGGTGAGTCTGAATTTCTAAACGATAAAATGTCAATCCACTTACACTGTTAGATACATCGTGTTTGCACCACGACACTCAACACATTCAAAGACGCAACATTCCAAAGCCGCCTTCTCAAGCATATACTGCCGGGAGCTGACTGGATTGCTCTAATCCGGTGTCGTCTAGCCGTGTCCTTCTTACTCGACAACCCAGCGCCTCTGTGCGAGCCACTAAACGAGCTGATCAGCTTGACGCGAATCTCCGACATCCTCAAGCGGGATATCTTTGACATCAAGAAGTACAAAGGCAAAGACAAACCCGAGTACGACTATGGAGAGCTTCTCGCCATCACCTCCCTTCTCAATATTGCTGTTGATTCAGGCCGGCACCAGGCAGAATTTGCGGACAGAGAAGCTGAAAAAGCATTCAACACGCAGGTAGATGTGGTGGCCGACCGTCTCAAGAAGGTCTTCAGTTTGATCGAAGACTCCGGCGCCTCCCATCTGAAGCGCACACTAGCTAAAGAAGCCCTTGAGACCCTGCACTACCGTATCGTCTATAGCGTCAGGACAAGGCCGCGTCCGAAGAAGTCGATTTACGGAACCATTGAAGCCCGGGAGTATGACCGGGAAGCCTTCAAAGGGTTCTTGCCGAAGATCAAAGCTAGTGCTATCAAAGCTGGCGCTGGGACAGAGATACCAATCCGACAACACGAGGCCCCTCCCCGGTGAAGTGTACAGTACCCCTTCTATTTTCATGCATCTTCCGTGGTCCTCGCAGTCATAGTTAGTGGAGTGGCGAATATCCCCAGTGGATATTAATCGCTGCAGCCCTCATGCAGCTCTCGACAGCATATTACCAGGTTACAAGGAGCCGTCCCAATGCGACCGGGGGTGAAATACAGGGCTCGGGCTCCACTGCGACCTGCTGACCTATTTGCACCTTGCAACCATCCTCCACGGCACGAAAGCGCGCTGCAGCAACGTGCAATGCAGCAGCTACGGGCCAACATCCTTACAGCATGCTCAGAATCCTGCGGCCATTGCTTTTGAATCGGTACTGTGCAAACCCCGGACTGACTGTGAACATTATGGTTCTCTTTCGGGCTCATCCGGCCTCCTGCCCGATTTCGTACTTTCTGCTCCAGTTGCGCACAAGTCAGCATATGTGGTCGCATTTAAACCTCCTGCACAGGGTGGACTGCTCGGTCCTCTCGATCGCGTCTGTCGAGCACTAACGTCGAAGTATCCTAGACCAGAGTCTGCCTCACACTGAGCGATAGCAGTAGTGGAGGAAGCAAGAAGGCCTCGTAGGTCTTATCAATATCTAAGCCCATGGAACGTTGCAATCTCCATAAATCCTTCAAGCGATGATCTACTGGTGGTAGTCCTGGTACTCGTAGTTCAGGCGGCCTCTGTATATATAGAATAAACTTTTGCTATGCACAAACATCCCTTTGGGATCCAATTCCAATTTCCGCTCTATCCACGCACACACGATATATCCCACACTCTACGCTTACAATTCGTAGGCACTCGGCACCGGCACCGGCACCGAATCAGCACAAAACGGGGGGGCGGGGAAAGCGTAAAATCATCATTCGGCTCGAATTGGAACTCCAGACAAACACGGAGAATAGAAACACGGTAAGGGCCTGTATACAGAGCTAGAACGATCTTCAGTGGGAAGGGAGAAGAAGAAACGACAGGTACAATAGATACATGGGGTTGGGTGGGGGAGGGGAGGCAGTATAGCAAGGTCAGATAATTTCTCTAAAGGGGGGAGAATTTAACCAAACGGTCCCCGCCACTTCTAGTCATAGAACCTCCGGTTGGTGTTCTTACCGAAGAGCGTCTCTCGAACGGCGGGGAGAGCATCAATCTCCAGCAGACGCAGTCGCTCCTCGAACGTGTTGCTGATTTCGATCTTGCCCTGACCGCCCACAATCACGACACCACCTGCACTGTTGAGTAATACAACAATCATAAGACGTTAGTTTTTGAGGAGGACAATCACCAAAACAGGAAGAAACCAGAAAGAACAGAAAAAGGTTGACTCACGATCCCTCCGGCAAAGTCTCCTCCTCGTCCAGCTCCACGGTGACCTCCTTGCCGACCGTCTCGTGGAACTCCTTCTCGGCCTCCTCGATCGCCTTCTTGACAGTGTCAAAGTCCTGCTTGCGCGCCCGCACGCCGATCTTGTCCTCATTCAATGCATATAGCCCCTCGAGGATCAGCCCCTTCAGCACGGTCTGGTACTTGTCGGCATCCTTGGCCGCGATCCCGGAGATCTGCTCGCGGGCCTGCTGGAACAGCTCGTCGAGGAGCTCCTGGCGAGCGGAGAGGACACGCAGGCGAGTGCGGTTGGCGAGGGTGGAACGGGTGATCTGTTGGGACATGGCGGCCTGCTTGAACTTCTTCTCGTACTGGGTGTCGATGGCGGCGGTCTCCTGGCGGACCAGCTTGGATTTCTCGATGGCGAACTCCTCGTCGGCCTTCAATTGGATCTCGCGGGCCTTCTCCACCGCTTCCTGGCGGATGAAGGCCGTCATCTTGCGGAGCTCGCCCGCAACCTATTTCAAGAAGAGGGGGGAGGTTGTGAGTTCGGGGACCTGACAGTCGCCTCCGTAGCGGGGAGGGGGGCGGTTGGGAATGAGCAATGGTTGCGTACCTGGTCATCGGAAAGAGCATGACTTTGCGACATGGTGACAGTGTGTTGATGAAGTCTCACAAGACAAAGGAGAAAGGAGGAAAAGCGAAAGACTGGTTATCAGATGGTAGGTAGGTAGGTCGGTAGGTAGGTATGTTGAGGGCCGTTCGAGCTTCCCGATGCGGAGGAGTGTTTCTGGGTGGAGCACTAAGAAGAGACCAACGTCAGCCTGATTGTCACTCTGATACTCCCGGCCGGCACTGATAGTGATTGTACTGTACAACAACAACAACACTTGCATGGAGGGGGTCAGGAGGAATCACCACGCAGAAGGAGAGAACTCACCTGAACGTAGAGGTACGGAATGTAAAATGTAGTTAAGCGACCTGAAGAAGGAGGGGCAGGGAAGGGAGAAAAGACAAGAGGGAGAGCAAGCAGCAAGCGTCGCACTTGGCGGGATCTGCTGATCGGATCACAGCTTGGCGGCTACTCTTCAATGTCTCTCTCCCTCTCTCTCTTTCTCTCTCTCTCCGCCCCAAATTGCCCCCTCGACTAAACTTAACTTTACCCTTCCTTTCTTCCCTACTTGACTTGACACAATAACCCTTCGCTCCTTGCTCTTCGCCTAAATATACCACCTAACGTCCTCCTCTGTCCTTACCATCGCCTCCGTCAGACAATGGAGTCTGGACTGCTAGCCTGTCCTTCCCCAGTCTGATGTGTGCCTGGTCTCTCGTTCCCCGCTCAGCAGCCAATGCATGAGGACAACCTTCGCAATGGGCAATCTCGGTGACCTGTCACCTCAAGGGAGTGTCGCGGTCAGTTATTGGTCTGATTTCCGCGATTGACTATCGAAAAGCTAACTTCCATTCCTCCTGCTAGGTTGGAGTCGTCGTCGGGTTGATCTCGACCAGTCTTCAAGCTATCGGACTGACCCTCCAACGCAAGTCGCATATCCTCGAGGACGAGAAACACCCTTACGATTTACGACGACCGCCTTACAAACGTCGAAGATGGCAGGTGCGCAGCGCATGTTTCTCCTTCAGTGCCTCACAATGGTCTAACAGCGCGATTCTTTTTCTAGCTGGGTATGCTCATGTTCGTCGTTGCGAACATCGTTGGGAGTACTATACAAATCACAACCCTTCCGCTCCCGGTACTTTCAACACTCCAAGCAGTCAGTCTCTAGCCCTATGACGACACTTACAGAGCTTCACTAACTCCCGCGCTTTAGTCCGGTCTCGTCTTCAACACCGTCTTTGCCACTCTGATCCTCGGTGAAGCGTTTACAAGATACTCTCTGGTGGGCACACTTTTGGTCTGCATTGGTGCATTGCTCATCGCAATATTCGGTGCCCTGGGAGAGCCGGCGCATAGTCTTGATCAACTCCTGGAGCTTTTGCAGCGTCGAAACTTCGTACTCTGGATGGGAGGCACAGCTCTGATGGTGCTGGCTATCTACGCAGGGTCCAGACTGCTCGATTTCCTTACGTCACCGCCGCGGTCCAAGCATACGGGGTCGCGCGGTTCTTACAGGGCACTGCAAATGTCCCCGGGGCGTGTTCGCCTTATACGCGGGCTTTCTTTTGGCATGATTAGCGGAATACTATCCGCACACACTCTTTTGCTTGCGAAATCGGCTGTCGAGCTGTTGGTTCGGACTGTCGTGGATCGCGTCAATCAATTCAACCGCTGGCAATCATGGGTCATTCTGCTTGCAATGATAGCGCTGGCTCTGTCCCAGCTCTTCTACCTCCATCGAGGGTTGAAACTGTGCAGTACCAGCATTCTGTATCCGTTTGTCTTCTGCATCTATAACATTATTGCTATCATAGATGGTTTGGTCTATTTCCAACAAATGTCCCAGCTGGGAGGCTTCCACGCGGGACTTATCGCGCTGGGGACGATTGTTCTCCTGAGCGGAGTGCTCTGTCTGTCCTGGCGCTTAGAGGATATCGACAGTCACGCCGCTGTGGCCGTGTCCGGGCCCACGCAAACCGGTTTGGGTCCAGGGTTGGCCGTCCTTGAGGAACTTCCGACATCACCAATTGGCCTGGGACTCGACGGCGAGGAGGGATCGGAGCGGGAGCCACTGTTACAAACAGCTCACCTTCCTCGCCGCACCCCGCACCAACGGGCACCCAGTCTACCTCTGTTACACGCACCATTGAGCCATCGGGACTCGACGACGTCGACAGCGGACGTGGATCCTGCTTCCATCTGGGCCGAACTCGATGATTCGGACAACGAATACGCGGCGTTCGCCTTGCGGTCGCGTCAGCGCAAACGCGCCTCGGTTGGGCCCTTCCCACCACGACCGCGCAGCCGAAGTGGCGCAACGACCCTGCGAGATGGTCTTCGAGGCCCACGCCGCTCCACCACCAACCCCGTAGGTCAACCATCTGCCTGGAATCAGCGCCGCAACCCGTACTCTCTCTTCGACCGTAAACAACGGCGAACATCGGCTCCCGCCTCGGAAAGCCGCCAGCTCCTTCTTCACCGGCAGGGGACCTCCAATGGCCCGGGTGGTGCCCGGGTCACAGGTTACGGCACGCAAGACGAACGAAGCGATAGCCTCGTTGCCTCCCACCACCGTCGCCAGGGATCCTTGCACCTCTCACCCGGTGCAGATAGGGGTGAGGGGGGCGCGCTCCTCGCTGGTCCGAGGAGAGCTCTCCGCCAGGCGTGGGGAAGCGTACGGACCCTCACTCGCTGGACGTCGTCGAATCGGGGGCGCCAACCGTCCGACCATGATCCAGACCTCGAGGCTCATTCGGATAGCCCCTTCGAGCAGCAATAGTCATTCTTTCTCTTCTGATTCTGCTTCGACCTCTTCCTTCCTTCTTCCTACCTTCTTTTCCCATAGACCCTACTGGACAGCCAGCAGCACCATATATGTCTCAAACAGTAGAACCCCCCCCCCAAGCCTCTCTATCACTTAATGTACAACAACAAATCCAAACTTTCCATATAACCTTTTATACCAAGGTACAACCAAATACACAGTTCTAACCACAGTCAAAGCCAAGGCAAAACGAACGCTATACCTTCTCCTCCCCTAAACGTAACCCTGCATGATAGACAACCCAAAAAGAACAGGCCAGAGTACATGCCCGTAGGCAGAATCCCTTTCAATCGACCAAAGATCCAGTCTCATATCCAATTATCCTAAACAAGCCTAAATCAAACGATAACCCAGCGACTCCCCCAAAACAATATCGTAGTGTAGCATCCCACCCAAGTTCCATTCTACCATTCGACTTTGTTGTAATCCTTTCTCCCCGTACTTTGATAGGTGTTGGCTAGTTGCCACGCTTTAGGGGGGGAAGGAAATGCCCGGCCCTGATATCATCAGGACTCTGACATCGCTGAAAGATCTGCCCGGTGCGGGGAACTGTACGAGTACAATGCTGACTGCTGTCTGCATCGCTCTGCCAGCAACCAACTCATCGGCTGATTTCCTATATAGATTCTCCCATATGGATACAGCCAGCACAAGAGTAGAGTCCTATGAGAACAGCAAGGTAGGTAAGTTACCCACCGCTACGATACGCTAATCATGGCAAGAGAATCTCGAGGAGTGATCATACATGGCATTTGTCCGCCCACTCCTTCCTGAAAGAGAGGGAACTGCATAAAAGGAAGTCACAAGGGGATTAAGTCACTGCATGGGTGGAAGATAGGGTTTGGAAAGAAAAGAAATGACAATTTATGATAAGAACACATATACTTCGCGCATACACACACACGCATTTCAATAATCAGAGCTAACAGAGAACCACTTCGCCCGCAAAAAGAGGAAAAGGTCAGCAGACACGGAGAGAAGAGAGAAAGAAAGCACCAGAAACACCGCCACTTCCCAGCAGTCGTCTAGGAAAGACATTAGTAGAATGAATGGAAAAACAGGAAAGAAAAATCAATTTATTGCCTGGGAGCCTTTCCCAAATTTCGGAATGCATCCTTCATGATTCGATCATCCATTCTGGCCTTTGGATTTGTTTGTTTTTGTGTTTCTGTTTCTCAATTGAGCTTTTTTCTGTTTAATAGGCTGTTTGGCATTTATGGTGAAACGGGGGGGGGCGGATATAGCAGACGCGATCTTGCCAAATGCTGAGATCAGCGCGACTCGCAACAGTTCGACGATATACAGAGTATGGAAAAAGACATTGAAATCATCCCTCCTCTTGATATTCTGGATTGCTTTCTGGCATACAGCGTAGACCGGATTTTTCACATTTTTTTCATCTGGTTTTGGGTTTCGGAAGTGTGCCAAATAGGTGAGGGAACAAATCGTCTGGGTATCAAAGAAAGGCCGTGGAGGAGCAAGCGTTGCGCGGGCTGATGTTTGACAAGGATGCGAACAACTTGCCTAAGCTCCTCAGGTTCCTTAGAGCGCGCGGCGGGAGGGACTCAAAGACACACAGCTTATGCGGTAGGCTGATGCTGAGGGGGCATCCGGTTGCCTACAGGCATACCGGGATATTGTTGACCTGCTTGCTGCTGCTGCTGGAGGTTCTGATAGTAGGCCATCTGCTGCTGCTGCTCGTTCGTCATGTAACCGGGGTGCATGCCTGCAGGGCGGGGCATGTTCTGCTGCTGAGGGTTGACATTGGCGTGGCTGACATCTTCGGGAGTCTCAGCAGGCACCTCCGGGGCGTCGACGCCGTTCTCATTGGCGGTCGGATCGGGAGCGTTGAGACAGGCCTGCAATGAGGAAGTGTGAGTCAATCGGACTCAATTGACCGAGACATTAGCGGACGCCACTCACCTGAATCAGGTTCTTGCCCTCCGGCTTGGTCACCAATGGTTGGAGCTTAGGGGTGGTGAAAGTATACACGAGACCGGTCTCAGACACGACCAAAAGCAGTACTTGAGTACCAGTGAGGACGGAAAGTTCATATGCCTGTTTTGCGACCACGATGATGCGTCAGTACTAGTCAAGCGGACGGGGACAATGACTTCACGCGAGCATCACGCATTGATGCGGAAGACCTTGAGCTCATGTAGCGACAAAAAACAAAGAGTCGCGAATCGACTGAAATTTGCAAATGATCGAGGGTGGGCAGAAAAAGAGGTTGACGGGGCTGAGACGCGCAAGCACGTACCTTCTTCATGATACCCGCCTTCCGCTTGGAGAAGGTGATATGGCGACGCGACTTATCCTGAATGAACTTGATTTCAATCTTTCTCCGCTCGCGACCCGGCTTGTCATCATCGTCATCGTCGTCGTCGGCAGCGCTCATGCGAGAGCGTTTGGTGCCGCGGTTGTCAGCGGCGCCGTTACCGGCGGCCTGCTGCAGGTCGTCCTGAGTGGGAGAAGGGTTCTCTTCACCGACGGCGGTGATGTCGGCCATGGTTGAATGAGGTGATTAAGAGGGCGAAGGGGGGAGGAAACTTGAACGAAAAGAATTCCTTTGAGAGGGTAACTTGAGGAAGAAAGATACTGGGGGACGTGAAGACAAATGCCCAAAGAGGAATGATGCTTTTGAGGGGGAGGGAGAATGACCAAATCGAGTAACGCGTTTGCTTCGCAGGGTTTGGGTTCAGGACGAGAAGGAAAGAGAAACGGGGGGGAGCGACTGAGTGAGGAGAAGGTCGAAGAAGGCAAAGTGCCGGTTGGGACAGGCAGGCGGTCAGTCACGTGGATCTGTGGGTGGGCTCGGTATCGTACCCACGGGAACCGGTTTCGTACCGCTGGCTGATGGATGGATGCATTCTTCCCATCTTCCCATGGGGAGAGAGCTTCCATCCCTTTTTGTAGAACTGGTAAACTACCGTGGACAACCTACAACCACAGGTACTTCAGGTGACTCAGGACTACACTGACTGCCCATTGATCTTCACTGTACCTCCAAGTCATCTCTACTCCTCCTCTACCTCATCGTGCAGAGTTGCTCTCCCGCAACGCCGCATACTCATTCACCACACCCCAAACTTGGCTCCAATCTTTCGGTCACAATACGGACGATGTCCAGACCCGACGGTGGGGAAGCTTGGCTCTTGGCCCGAGTGTCTATTGGCGCAGCCGCAGTAAGGCATTGGGGGAATCGATTGTAGAGGCCAACTCACATTCCCCACTCGAGGTTTCATTACCGTATCCGTTTTGTCCGCTGGGTTCCTTCCCATCCACCATCCAGAAAGGGAATCTAGTGTGCAGACACTGTAGGTGTGTGGTCGAAAACTACACTCACAAGTCAGCAGAACTCGAAGAGTCTGAGTTGTCAAGCTTCAGGTTCATCACTTTGATCACCAACTAGTCCTTGAGATCTGGTCATGTGCCAACCTTCAGAATCGCATTCCACTTGGCCAGGTCTAGCGGTGCTTCCACCCGTGTACGGTAAACCCCAGTACGCAGTACGGGGAGCGGCGCGCGGGCAGTTCGCCCCCAAAACCAAAACATTACTACTTCCAGTACTAAACTACAGACCTGGCAATTGTGCTACCGAGACGCAGAGAGACCGGCCAGTGACCTGCAGACGCCTTGTTCTGACTGCGTGGTACTGTAGTACCTGCTAGGTACTCTCTCGCTCTCGGTCCAAGATCAGACAGCGAGCCAACCAGCTAGCCAGCTCGGTAGAAACTTCTACAGTTTGGAGGGGGAAGTGCATTCCACACCATCCTAGGGCCTACACTAACTAGACAGTCACTACTGAACTGCCGCCTGTCCCCCCGGGGTTGTGCTCTTGCATGCATGCAACCCTATAAACTCAAGTCAGCCAGGACTTACCTACTGTAACTACCTCCCTACCTACCTACTATGCCAGCCGTCTCCCTCTTCAACACTCATTGACACATCTCAACAAATATTCTATCGATACATCATGGATCATAACTATTACCTAACGCCCCAACCACAGCGATATACCTCGGACACCAGCATTGAAAATGCAGGGATCCAAGAATAGCCACTGACAGCAGAGGATTCACAGGGGCAACGCACGCAGCCTGAGGCCCTACTATCAGCAATAATTGCCCCAATTATTCCCACCCAGCACCAATAATATATCTTCCCCGTCCTCTAACAGCTTGTCCAGTCGGAGACCACACACATCCTCCTCCGCAGGTAAGCATCCATCCATCCCTTGAAACCGGAACCAGCCCATACATTCCAGAGCCTGGAGGACTGTAGTTTTCTAAGTACGCAGATGCTGGAACAATTTACCTTGTGCTGAGCCCTCCACAGAAACCCAAGCAAGCCATCGTGGACAACCATATCGACATCTTCAACAACACAACACTGCCTGACAAAAACGAAATCTCGATCATCGTTTCCCAACTCGTGCAAGATCCACCACCGACTAAAGGTCCCCTTCCTGTAGGGCTGGGCCCGAACAGTACTGTACCTTGAGTCATAAGTCATAAGATAGAACTAGACCTGTTCCGTATGATATACCCAGGATATCCCCGCGGACACCCAACCCGGGATGACGGTGACAGTCTGGAATCATGATGTCCGCCATGTTTTATCGAGTATGAAACAATCTACAACTACACCACCACGCAACAACGCTCATCCACCAAATATAGTAGATTCAGCTGCTCGGACTCTCCATACTAAGAGCACGTAAAAAGATCGACACCACAAATTTCAGCAGCAAGCAAGCAAGCAAGCAAGCATCAAACTCCCACTCAACTATACTATGCTCAACACAACACACTAGGTATATATCCTCCATCCCATCCCATCCAATCCCAACCTTCAAAAACCCACACCATCGATCCTACAACTTCCACCCCGAAACCGAAAGCCTCCAGGGTTACATTCCCCCAAATTCCCCACCAAACTTACTTTCAACCCCTCATCACACCTCACACATCACTGGACCCTTAGCCACAAGCATAGGTAAGCCCTTGATAGGATCCAATGTCAAGCTTTCAGGCGTTCCTATCTTACGACTGAACCCATCATCCACGGCATGGCATCTCCCAGTCCCCCCCCCCAAAGAAGAAAAGAATGAACCCGCCGGTCCAAATCGACCTCTTTACCACCTGCATAGCACACAGCAACCAGCAAGTCATCCTCATGTACAGTACTGTAAAACGAAAGATGACAAGCGAGTAACTAGAAAGTAGATCGGATATCGCCTTCGAGCCCTCCAGCAAGCCCCCAATAACAACCACCTCCAATATCACCAACCCTCCACCTAAGCATCCCGCAAATCCTATGACTGAAGAACGAGAACTCGCAGCTCAGGAGAAACCTACGGAACTCATCCTGATGCAACCAGGAGGGAAGGCAGGCGGCATCCCACGCATCAGTTTAGTATATAGTATATCCTTCCTTCAGCGCGGACGAAGTAGCGTAGCTTCCAAGCTGCAACCATAACTAGAACAAACAACACAATAAACAACCAACCCACATACACTACCATACCCAATTCCCAGAGCTACATATATACAATACAGTATATCCCCCCCCCTCCCGCCTCTCCAAACCTCCCGATCCCATCTCTTCAAAACCAATACCAATATCAGGTTCTCATCGCCTACCCCCTCTCTCCCTCCACCTCGAAAACAATCCAACAGAATCATATCTCACTGCAACGCCCACTGCCACCTCACGTCCAACCAAACCCTGGAACCAAGACCCTTTCCCCTCACATTGTCCTACCACCCAAGAACTAATGATAGGCTCCAGTCCTCCCGGGTTCACATCGCCGCCTGCCTATCCCAGAAGCCCAAACAGAGATACAAAATGTGGCGGTGTTGCGGGTCGAACGTTCTCGGGAGCTTGGCCGGGTGAATAAGGGAAACTGGAAAGTTTTTTTCTCTAAGGTCATATCATCCTGTGGGGGGATATGATAATACACTTGGAATGGATTGTCGATATTGTATAATTGGGGCAATGCTTGGAGATTAATGTTGATTGGAGTTCGGTTAGGGATAGGCGAAGAGAAGGGGGGTTTGGGGGGTTCGTGGGGGGGGGGGGGGGGGGGGGG